GTGTGTGTGTGTGTGTGTGTGTGTGTGTGTGTGTGTGTGTGTGTGTGTGTACAATTCAATCGTATCATATAGATACACATACTTAAAGCTACTGTTAGCCGAGGAACATTTGACACGACATTAACTCACAAGCATATATCCTGAGTATCTCGATACACTTGGTCTGAGATGCGGGCGTGAACAAATTCAGACTACCGTAAGCATGTGTTCAAAATTTACTAAGCAATCGAATTACGAACAAATCAGATCAACGAGATAGTGTGTTATCGTATGAACAAAGCAACCCTGTATGCGATCAAACCTGCAAAAGACGGTTCGTGTACAATTTATACTAAACACAAATTACAGGAAGCATGTGATCAGATCTACACAAAACTTTTATATTTTGTTGTGGAAACGAAACCTGACAAGGCATTTGGGATACAACACGCCTACTTTAATATATATAAACGTTTACACAAAGAGACATACGAGCACTCTACTCCTGTTCGACATACCGGGGGTGCCGGAACCGAAGCCACCGAGACTCATGTCCGTCAGAGCACAAGAGGTTTCAAGTGTATGAAACAGGACGTGCTTTCAGATAGAGAAAATTTACTACTTCTTAGATACTATCCTAGTATCCGTTGAAGAACAATGGTATGGTGTGCATCCATGGATGTTGTGTGTACTAATTATACTGGATGTTGAGCTGCCACATACATGCATGTTCGCTTATTTACTATATATATTTATACAGATGACGATTATGTACAATAGGATACGTGTTAAATATTCGTATTTTGACCCCACAGATCAACTCGGGTCAAAATTTTATGTACCGAACTATTTTCGAGGTGCCGCCATTTTTTGTTGAGCTGTCAGATGGGGCTCTGTCTCTCTTCTCTTGTAAATATATCAGTGATCATATAGCGAGAGAAGGAGAGCTCACGCGCACGATTAACTTGCTAAAATAAATAATATGTACGAGTATGATAAATAAATAGAGATCATTAATTATAAATGGTATTTATGTATAAATTTATTTAGAATACATGTTAGATACATATATAGTTTGGCAGGGTATATACACACAGCACGCACACAGCGCTCGGAGAGAACTGACTAGTGAATATGTTTCAAGCAATTAAATACTTCGGGGGCTCGCCGCATGGTGCGTCCCGTCCCTTAACTGGCATCTTAACGACACAAATTAGGGTAGGCTATATACATGTCTCTATATAGCGTTAGACAAGTGAATTAAATCGTCCTCGCCATCGCTGGCGACAGTAATCGTGAGCACATCAAGCCGATTATTGCTACGTGATGATCTTCTTGACCTCGCGCGCATGTTGGCGAGTGAGGTTTGATGTAGATGTGTTTATGTAGCATATATATATATATTTATGTGTGTGTGTGTGTGTGTGTGTGTGTGTGTGTGTACACGTGTGTGTGTGTCTGTGTCTGTGTCTGTGTACACGTGTAT